AAGAAAAGAAAAGAAAAGAAAAGAAAAGAAAAGAAAAGAAAAGAAAATAAAATAAAAGAAAAGAATAAAATCGCTGTTACTTTTAACTTTTCAGCAGAGAAGTTAGGAGATTCAGAACTTTCAGTCTTTCAATTGTAATTTTAAGAGCTAGGGTTGCTTTTGTAATTACAAGATATGTTTATTTAAGTTAAAAGGTTACAATTTCTATGTTAGTTAGTTTTAAGTAATTTTAGGCGTGGTTGCTTTTAATAAAAGAGAGCCTATGAATGAATGTTTTAAGGGATTGATTGAAAGTGATGTAAATTTTCACAGTTTATTAAAAAGTATGTGGAGCATGTTTAAAATGTGTACTCTAAGTTTCGCCCATATAAAACAGCAAATACAGCTTCCACATGTAAGAAAAAACAACAAAACGAAGATCCGCATATGAGAAAAGACAACAACAAATAAAAGTTTCACATACGTATAAGAAAAAACAACAACAACAAAAATAGTTATTTTTCTTCAATACAAATATTAAGAAAAACCTTCATAACATTTTTCAATAAATCCACAAATAAAAGGTGTCCAGGGTGTAAGAAACCTCGATTGGCAAGGGTTAAGATCTTTTTTTGCAAAAAGTCTGTGCAATCATATGCCAATCAATAACCTCCTCGGTTTTTTTAAATCATCTGCTTGTTTAGCCAAAATCAAATATCTCGAAAACGACAAGAGGTAACGATATAAATTGAACCGCATTTTAAGGCTAATGGAAAGTTCAGAAAAAATAAAATCGTATGATAAAAAAGTGCCTTGACTTTAAAAATTATCCTCAAAAATCGAATTTTTCTTTTGTTTATTTTATTATCTGAAAACAGTGTTCCACAAACTTTTCAAAAAGGAATGCATTTCCATGGTCGCAGTAACCGAAAAACGCATTTAAATTTTTTTTGCTTTTAATTGCTTGACATCTTTTGCTAAAAAAACAAAAACAAAAAATACAAAAATTTACTTTTTTAGCTCATTTTAAAGATTAGATTGAATAAAAAATTAACTTGACTTTAAAACAGATCTGCAAAAGTAAAATTTTGGATTTTTTTTACAATTTATCCTAAATAAATTGAAAGTGCATCTTTCGGTTCCTGTCTTGGCGCAAGTACAGCAAAAATATGTGTTTAAACATTTTTAAACATTCATGGCATGCTGATTTCAGTTAAAAAAATTAAAGAGTTCAATTTTTGAGAGCAAATTTAAAGATCAGTGTAATGGCAAATCTGCGAGTGTATTTCTGCCATGAAAAACAACTTCTTATAAAAATAAAAACGCCATTTAATTTTTTTTTTATCAAACGAGGCTATTTTTGCCGAACTTTCCATCTCAAAAGCTTTAAAATACCGTTCCATTTATTTCGTTCTCTTTCTCGAGTTATTAAGCTTTCAATTGATTTTTTTTTTTTTTTTTTGATATCTTTGAGTTTATTACAGACAATCGTTCATCCTTTCCCGGTACCTTGCCTTCCCCACCGACCTGAGCGAATCCAAAATGTTCTCAACCATTTTCCTCCAAAAGCGTCCAGTTTGTTATTCAACAAATAAATTAATAAACTTTCTTCCTGAGTCTGCTATCTAGTACAATTGTAAATAGAATTGATTGCAATTCACACCTTTAAGAAAATTTGCAAATAATCGAAAACCTGCTAATTGTTAAGTTAAACAAAACTCAACGACGATGGTTTGCGCAGATTTCAGTTTAACTTTTCTGTTCTGTTCACTTAACTATTAGCTAACTTTGGCTAGCAAATATCGGCGCTTACTGAACTTTGCTTTTATTTGCTGTTCTGCGACCGAACTTGTCTTGCAGTGGTTGAAAATTTTCTTTTTGTACTTACATACATACATACATATACAATCAACCCCGCAGCCCCAATAGAATTTGTAAAAAAAACGTTTATTTGTAATTTTCTTTTCTTGATTTTTGTGCTTGAATTCAACAATTAAGTTTGATTAAAATTGTCAAGATATTTTGTGTGTAGCCACTTGACGAGAGTGACGGACGTGTAGTTGTTGGAGAAAAAAAAACTCTGTTGCGGTTGTTGTGAGAGTGGTAGTTGCTGACAAAGTTTTTGAACTCCGACGCAGTTAAAAGCCAACAAAATGACAGCCACTCGACTTAGTATTTAGTTAGGAGCTCCACTGTCCAACTGTACCATGGTCGCAAATTTTTTCATAAAACTAATTGCGTTTTTTCTGCTGATTGCTTTTGGTTTTTTTTTTTCCTGTTTTTCTTTCCTAAAAGCATATACTGTTCTTTTCCGTTATTCCCTTTTCTTGAAAGCACATTCAATTTGCAGGCAAATTCCACTTGCAACTGACAATGAGAAGAAAGTGAAAAGCTGCTAGATGGCAGAACTTTTAATTATTTATTTAGTTTTTATTGTCGCCTTTTTCTTTTTACTGCTATTATTGTAGTATGCCCACGACATTCCCACATGCCTCTCCGTTTCGCGCGCGCTTCATGAACAAAGTATGTGATGAGTATTTGCAAAATATTTGGCAAATTGAATAACTTTGCCCCTTATTAAGCGCCAGTTGTATGCCTTGGCAACAACTGCAACAACACGTTTTTTTTTCATCTTTCTTCTCTATTGTGTGCGCTTTTATTTGTGTTTCGCAATAGTTTTGCATTTTCTTCTTTGCACTTAACGGTTAACAACAATTGGCTTGCAAGTCAGAAGACCAAGTTCCCACTTCAAATTTTCTTTTGTATGTAAAATTCTGCAAAATACAGGCACAAACATGCATATATGTATGTATAAACAAAACAATAGCTAGCTGTATATATGTATGTATAAGGATATTGTGTATGCGTGTAAGTAGCATACAAACAGGCGCTTGAACTTGCACATTTGGCCGCAAGGGTCTTGAACAAATGTCAGTGGCTGCCATTTACGCACTCGAGTGAAGCCTGAAAAGCGCTTAGAATAGCAAATGGAAAGAAGTACGTTACGCAGTATATAATAACAACAGTAACAACAACAACAACAACAACCACAATAGCAGTGCAATAACAGCAAAGTGTCTCACAAAGCACAATTGAATTTCCACAAAACTCACACTGTCAACACAATAGCCAACCACCAACTGAGAGTGAAATTAAAGTGAAACTAATATGAAAAGTGCACAGAGTCTGCACAAAACTACAAATAAGAAAACATGAAGTGCAAAGAAAAGAAAAACTACTACTTTAGCAACTCATAAGTATAGTATCAGCAGCAAAATGCGATCAACAACGTGCAGTGGTGTGTCGTTCAAATTCGACACGCCCACTGGTGGTAGTGCAAGTAAATACTCACAGACTTTTGTGGGTTTTTGTTGTTGCGCAGCACAATGGCTATGGCATGGTCGTGTGTGTATGAAATCTCTAATTGTTGTTTTAGAGTTGTATTACATTTGTTGCTTGTAAGTTGAAAACTTTAATCCCGTAGTGTGCGCACAAGTTTTTCGAGTAGCAATTTCTTTTTTGTTGCACAGACTTTGAAGAGGCGTATGTTGTTTGAAAACAATGCCATTATGCTACTGTTTTTTTTTTGCAAAGTTTTAAAACTAAATTAGCCTTAGATAGTGGCAAAAAGTGCAAAGAAATGGACAAAGTTTATGTTGTTATTCGACCTAGCTACTAACTACAGCAACATACGGCAGCCGCCCTTTTTAAGTTTAAGAAAGTTACTCATACGCCCTGATGAACAACAGCAGTACTCAAGCAGGAAATGTGCTTGTGCTCAATTTTTGTTTTGAGAGTTAAGCATAAAGCCCATTTTATTGAGTGTTTAGACTAAGTTAGTGTGAACATATATCCAACATTTTCCATTAAGGTGTTTTTTCAGAGACATCTATATATATAATACGCGAAGGAATTTTTTGTGCCGGTCATCAGATCTGCACCGTTCGTTCGATTTTCAAAAATGACGTGTCAAATTGATGTAGATGTGCAATAAGATCTTACATTTTCGAGAAGAGTTGCCAACTGTTAAATAATTACACTAAAGTTATTTAATAATAAATGCCCTCGGCTGTCATTAAAGGACTGGACGTGAGGATGTTCAATAAGGTTCTACTTTTTCGAAAAGAGTTGCCACCAGTTAAGAAATTAAGTTCAAATTATTTAAAAAGTTAAATCAATTGTTACAACATGGGTATCAACCGAAATGGTTTTGAAAAGCCTTTATATCTTAACTACAAGTAAGAGGGTTGCCATATGTTTAAAAAATGTAATTTAATTTTAATTAAAGAAATTTGGTAAGTTAATAAGGTATCACTAGTTTCGTATCAGACAAAAGAGGTTTAAGAAGGTAGTAGTTTGGAAATATTTTGAAGAGGGTTGCCACATATTTGAGAAGTCGAATTAAATTATTGTATACCCAAGTTATATGAAATATTAAAAATTATTGGCAAATTAAAGAGTTTTCAGAAATATTTAGTTTGAAAATTTAGAATATTTTTGATGTGTTTGAGGGTTGCCACAGTTTAAAATGTTAAATTTAAATTATTCAATAAATTAAATGAATTACTAAACGATGGTTATCAATGGAAATTGGGTTAAAATACTTTATTTCCGAACTATATTTAGGAGGGTTGCCACGTATTTAATAAATAAATTTCAACTTAGTTGGGGCCCAGTTCGGTACTAGTTGGGGAATAGTTTGGGACAAGTTGGGGCCTGGTTTGGGACCCGTTCGGGACTATATGTGACCTGGTCTACGAAAAGGGAGCTTACGTGCGAAAACTAGTTTTCTGTGAAAAAGCTGTTAAAAGTAAGCAACTCGTTTCGTCAGTTTCTCATTATCTCGTTAATTGTTCTCCGCGCCGGACGTCCAGTAAGTGTTGTTGTTGGTCCAGTAAGTGTTGTTGTTGGTCCAGTAAGTGTTGTTGTTGGTCGGAATATTATTATAGTTCATCGTGTAAGTTGCTAGTGTGGAACATTTAAAAAAGTAACACTGAAGAAGTGACGTTTACTGTTTCTGTTGATTATCGTCTTCGCATTTCGCATGAAATGAAATCTGTGTTCGTTTGGAAAAGTAGCTTATGTCGAAAGGCCGGCTTTAGTATAATGCGGCATTCCCTTTATTCTTTAAACGACAAGGAATTTTTGGATGAGACTTAACAAGAATATTGACTTGCTAGTATCGGAACTATTTCTTGCACGTTTATTTCCAAAAAGTTTTTCAACGGCTCAGCGCCGGTGAGTCATTCGCAATCGTATGCTGCGAATGCCGATTTATACTAAAGCCATCCTTTCGACATAAGCTACTTTGCCATACGAACACAGAAATATGAGTGTTGATGAGGAGTTCAGTGCCGTATACGGACAATATTTCCATGAAAAGGATGATGAAAACGATGATGAAAACTATGAAGAGAGCGATGATGATGAAGACGAAGTATGTGCATCTCGGGCAGAAGATGATACCGAACAAACTTTTGTTAAGATGGACCTGTATGTTGTTGATGTAAAGGAGGAGGAGCTGGTAACAAAATTTCACGACAACAAAGAACAATACATAAACTACTCGGCATTATTATTTTTGGCCCATAATACGTTTTTCTAGTGTATAATCATGTCTTTATAGCTTATAATTCAATGTATTTTGTTCATTACCAATAAATTATATTTTGTCGTATTTTTACTCTTCTTTCTCTACATTTTTAGTACACTTCTAAGCAAGTTAGGATTTTCTGCTTTTCAAAATTGATTTTTTGACACCTAAGCCACCCTTTCCGTAGACCAGTTCACATATCCAAAATTTTTTCGCACTCATAATTATTATCAAAAGACTTTTATAATTCTTGCGAAAATTTTGATCACTTTTTTAAAACTCCACCATGAAATAATTATTATTCTGGGTCTCTGATTTCTTTAAGAAGAATACGTCTTAAGTTCCGGCATGGATGCCAAGCATTGATTTTGTAGTCGTAACTTTTACAGCTGCACTAACACGCTTATTGCACGTGAAGTTATGGAGCGATTTTCCTAAAAAAATAATGCGTTTTAATTAAAATTACTTCGAACTTACCGTCGAATCCATTTTTGGGAGTCATTGGCTTATTTTAGTGTGAATGTTTAGAACGTAAAGTACTCGGGAAACATAAATTTAACAGATATAACTTCTATTTTCGGAACTTAAATACTTTAGAGTAAAAGCAACATTTCTGTGTACAAGCTTAATACAACTTAGAAAAATTTGAAAGCAAGTTTAAGGTAAGTCTTTAGGCAAAAAAGTTTTGAGAAATGGTGTAAATTTTTTTACGAAAATGCTCTAAAAGCGTTCGAATGATATTGTTTTCTGTTGTCAAAACTTCAGTGTTTCCTTTTGTTTGGTATATGGGCAAATCCTGGCGTTCGGACGTTACGTTCGATCCCTTGTTTATTTCAATTTAACTAAACTAAAATTTAACTAAACTAAGAATAAAACGGAGTATTGGACCCAAGTGCATTCCTCTTTTTCGACTATTTGAATGGCTGATGACGCTGGCAAATATTTATTAGCTGTCGGTTAATGTGGTACTGCTACTCTATAGCTAACTATTAGTATATTGTGTTTGAATTGATTTATTAAATTCAGTTCAATAAAATCAATATACTTTAGGTAATATCACGTATTCTAAGCCCTACGGTAGTCTTACACCCATAACACATTGCATAAGTGATGACGAAACTCATAAATGAAAAACTAAAAAATGCCAAGCGAAGAGAAAGTTATTGCAACGATTAATACAAAAATACATTAATTAAGCACACAAAGGTCCCCAAAGTGAGCACGAAAGTGCGCACGCAAGTCAGCAAAGCACAAATGACAATAAAGTCGAAAGGATTCGCTTAGCTGCCAAGGGCGGTGGTTCGAAAAAAAGGCGAAAAGTGAGAGTTATGTGGCTATTAAGCTGCAAGCAGTTAAGTGAATTGACAGTTGACGCGCAAACTTCACGGGAGGGGGGAAACATTGGAAAAAAGTAGCTGGAAAAGGAAGTAAAAAGCAAAAAGTTAAAAAAAAAATGCAACGCTGCTGAAGTGAATGAAAGAATGATTGAATGAAGTTGCATTGTATACTATCAAACAGGGCATTGAGAACTGCCAACTGTTTGTGGTTGTTCCTTTGGGGATGACCGCATGACACAGAATAATCACATTTTCGTATTCTCAGTTTTATGGCAAAAGTTTATTTCATCTCTTTTTTACCTTACTTTTGTTGCTTAGCGATTTGTATCCGCAAAAGTCATGAAAAGTTGAAAACAAATTGCGCTCGACTAACCGCTGCAGCTAGCGAATTGGTCAGCGTGGTCCACTTTAGTTTGTATGTTTTTAAATTTACATACAAACAAGTTATATTTTCTCATTTCCACAAAAACCTCAAAAAAATTCGACTGCAAAAATTATCTACATTTTTTCTGTTTGCCTCGCTCCAAAAGCCATTTGAGCGCACCATTTTTTCCTAGAAATCATTTTTCAATTGCAACATTTCTCTGCGCATTCAATAGACATGCATGCCAGCCACCAAAAAGGAAACCCAACCAGCGCATCTAGTGGAGGCGAAAGTAAATGAAATCACAAAAAAAAAAACTGATACCTGCTATGTAGCAGCGCAAGTCAAATCGAATGAAAACTCATTCGAGCCCACACTCGCTGAATAAAAAGCGCGCAGTCAATCCTTTTTTTGTCATTTTTTTCTCATACTTATTCTTACAAAAACAAATCTAGCCCATAAATTATGCTACAGCCAGCTTTTGAACTCTATATAAAATGCTGAAACTAATTCTCTCTACGCTGCAGCGCAGGCAATGACAGCGACCGCATGAGCGGGCAGAATAGCACTTAAGCGGAAATAAACTTGACCACTCCCATTCATACTTGTACCAACGGAATTACCTACTTTAACGTAGACAACTTTCGGCGACTTGGCAAAAAGTTATGGTCAACAGCTGCTGGCCGTTTTCGTTGCAAGTACTTAGTAGCAAATAAATTTCGGTAAGTGTGCGCTTGAGGGAGGATGCCGGGTTAGGGTGATTCTATAATATATGAAAACCTAAATTTTGTATACAACTTTTGTGTACAAAATAATGACTTCCAACAGAATTTTAAAATTTTAAAATTATTTTTAAGGCTCGCTAAAAATATTAGAATTCAACAAATTTTACATACAGTGACTCAAACAAGTGACCACTTATTAGTTTTTTTTTTATATTCGTAATGTTTTTCGAGCTTTGGACATTTTGTCTGTTATTTTTCTATAAAAATACTGTCCAAGCTTTAACCAAAACCATATAAATCACCGTTTCAATGTTAATGCAAAATTTATAAAAATGAAAAAAAAAAATTTTGGAGACTGCTTTGGCACTTTTTTTTATAAACAAGTGCAACTAACAAAAACTGGCTTGCTTTTTTTTGAAATTTTGTTGTGAACGATCTCCCGCGTGTTATTTCATAAGAAATTTATGTCTATATGGAAAAAAGTGCAAAAATCAGTCACCAAAAAAATTCTCAAAAGTCATCGCGATTTTTTAGCCGGTTGAAACTTGCATTTTATTAGACTAAAATTGTGTGGGCTAGTTATAAAACAGCATACCAGAAAATGTGAAATTTTTAAGAAAATTTTTGAATTTTTCTAAATTTTACGCTAAGATTGAAACTGTGATTTATATAGAAAAAAAAAAAAAAATACATTGTATTTTGTTATCATAGTGAAAAAAATTACATTTTTAATGACCACCCTAATGAGGGTGTTGCCCAAAAGCTTACTCAAAGACTACTTGTAGTGTAAAGAGCAAAAATTAATATAAAAATCGTATTTAGGTGCATTAAAAGTTTCGCTCCTGAACAAGTAAAAGAAATTTTTGGCGTTGAGAAGAAATATTGGAAGTACTTCAACTGGAATTCAAGGAAAAATATAATTTTTGCCATCATTTAATTTTTCAAAATATGCCAGCGAAAATGCTGTGTTGCAATTGAAGTCATAGATACGCATGCAAGTGCGAATGTGTTTTTCTTGCGCTCCTGTGGTTGATAAACTATACTCTTGCCGGAATCGGCTTTCGGAAATGTCTTGTAAAAAAAAAGAGTAATTTGTCTAAACTTATGCCTCCATATTGTGGTAGCCACAAATGCTACAAAATAGCCATTTCACGTCTGAGTAAGATGGCTTTTCGGTATGTGAGAGGATCAATGAGAACGCGTTCAATCGCGGCCTTAGAGTCGCTTCTAACGTGGACTCCACTCCATATTTGTTGCAAACAGCAGTCGTTTCGAGGAATTTGCAAATGCAAAAGTCTGACAGAACTCTTAAAAACAAGACTCTACACAAAGGTATTTTTAGAAAAATACCAGGTTAAGGAATTTGCGAGTTCTCCGCCGCTATGCCAAAGGCAATCTGCTGTGGAAGGAAATTCCAGAACGAGATGTCTGCTAAAATGGGCTACCTGGAGTAGATTCCATACTCGTACACTGGTAAACAGATGGACCAAATATAGAAGGCAGAGTAGGAGTCGATGTTTTGGACCTGTCACCAAACTTTCTATTGCAATGAGTACTTGGCCAACGGTCTTTTAGGCTAGCAATCTCAATTTGTGCCAAACTTAACCTTAAGAAGGGTTTAAAAGCGTTTCTAGTTCTAGGACGATCATCGCAGGGATCGTTAAGGAATGCTTTGACACTATCCAACTCTTGGAAGCACGGTACCAGGGCACTGCGTAGGTAATGGGGCCGCAGACGAATTGGCTAGGGAAGGTTCATCTTCTGTACTTGTGGGACCGAAACAATTTTATGGACTCAGCTGGTCCTCCTCGAGGTCCATAATCGAAGCGAGGGTAAATTCGGAACACAGTAAGTGCTGCGGAGAGGTGAGGGGGCCTTAAATAGGCCAAACCTTTTGGTTATCCTTTTGCTATGAAAAAAATAAATCTATTGAAGAGCGCCAACGTTAAGTTGCTTATTGGCTACGTAACCGGCGAAAGTCACCTGCGATTTCACATGCACCGCATTGGCCTTTCCACGGTGACGTATTGTCGTTTTTGCCTTGAAGACGAGGATATATCGGAGCACATTATGGATTGCCAAGCATTAGCCAGACTAAGACTGCAATATGTACTTCGTTTCTTCCACAATCGATGCCCTTTAGGTTAGGAGTTCATCTACAAAGAAACTTGTAGGTTTTATTGGAAGGATCATAACATCTTGGACCGTCAGCGTTAGGAACCATCACCAGACCTTGCACCAGACCTCTCTTCAAAAACGGCTGAAATGATTTAGTTGAAAAATTTGACATATTTTGATAAGGTTTTAATAGGGTTGCCATCTGCTTAAAAATATAAATTAAACTTAGTTAATATTTGAAGGATTTCTCTTATTATTGATTTACGAAACGGTGTAAAAGCGTTCGGTTTTCTAATTTTAGGTTACGTCCAAAAATCGCATATCAAAGTTAGCTTGAGAATCTCGATATAGACCCGAAAATCACGAAAAAGTCTTGTGAATCCCGAAAAAATGAATATCCCGAAATAATCTCGAAAAGACCGAAACACTCGACCGAATAGTCTCGAAAATCTCGAAATAGTCCCAAAAATCTTGAAATATTCCCGAGAATTCGGGAAATCCTGAAAATCACAAAGTAGTTTCGAATATCTGTATGTGGTCTCGAGATTTCGAAGTCGTTTGAAAATCGTGAAATAGTCCCGAAAATCGAGATGTCCCCTAAATTCATTATCTTTATACTGATTAAATAGCAAGTATTTAGTATTTAATCAAGTCATAAGTACAAGTGAAACCTTCAATTTTAACAGTACAAGCGCAATTCTGGTAAATCATTTTGGTTCAATCTCATTAGTATATAGTTTTAGAAGTCGCTGCTTACAAGTTAGATCAAAACATATTAATAAAATTTGTTGGTCTAACCAATCTAAATACATACTTATGTATACAAATATTACAATCAAATTATAATTTTCACTTGTTTCCTTCTTTCGAGGCATTGATTTCCTCTAGGGCCCTTCATTATGTACATACACACATATGTTGTTTATTGGTTTTCAACTGAAACGAATGCTATTTTCGGCCACACTACTTACCAGTGTGGATACCCAAAACGACAACAGAAAGAAATACCGACAAGCGAAAAACAAATAAACAACGGAAACATGCGGTCGTTCGGTCAGGCGAACATCGGGGCGTATGAGTGACATTTCACCCGGAGCAACATAACTCAATGGACTTGTGTGCGTGTAATGTGCAGCGTATAAATTTACTTCTTTATTGTTATTGTGCCTTTTTTCCATTTGGTAGCTGCAACTGTTCGCGTTAATGTTGATTGTTTCACTTTTTTTGCCTTTTGTTCGCTGACATTGTTTTGGTAAAATGATTACTGTTAAATGTTAATGAAATTTAAGCAGCGAAATATGGAGCCTGGCTTAGTAGAGCAAGTACATACTTTTATACTTATGTATCAGTGGCATACATACATACATACATGCATACATATGCACCTACACACATAAAAGACGTGTGTCCAATGAAATAGGAAATAAGATATTTCGAATATAATTTGATGAAACCATTTTATTTTTTGCGGGGAGGGTTATCTTACGAGTTTGTATGTACAAAAATATATACAAAGAAACATATATATAAACACTTAACATAAATATTCAGTATTACATACACTCTCATACCCAACTGACCCTGTTTTCCTTCACTAGGCAAACAATACTTTTTATTAAAGACTTGACAGCCGATGATTTACATATTCCCCCATGGTCTTACATATAGAAGCGTATTTAGTCGCTTGCCGTTCTTTATTAAAATTGATTTGAAGTTAGTTTTTATCATCACTAATAATATATTCGAATTTTTTTGTTCCCTCTCTTTGCAGGCTATTTTCCGCTAAGCTCACTGTGGTGCCTTGTTTGGATTTGTCTAGATGTGCTCTTTTGTACGGCCAGCATAATGCATTTGTGTACCATTTCAGTAGATCGGTTCTTTTCGTTGGCCTTTCCTATGCGATTTGGTCGCAACAAGACTACTAAGCGTGTCATTTTGAAAATCGCTTTCGTTTGGTTCCTATCGTTATCGACGAGTTTGCCGCTATGCTTGATGTACATAAAGGTGAGTAGTTTTATTAGTGAATAGAGATTTTGTACCTTTTTTGTCTACTTTGAATGCAACGAAAATTTATTATGCAAAAACAAAACTCATGCTGAAAATTGTGTTTAAAATTTTGAGGTGGAAACTTTTCTGTATAAATAATTTTTGAAGTGAAACCTAGTTCCGCTCGGTTTGATGTAAGTTAAGATACGATTTAAGATAAAGATTAATATTAAGATTAAGATTAAAATAAAGATCAACACTAAAGATTAAGATTATGAACAAGATTAGTTCTAAGATTAAGATTGAGATTAAGATTCAAATTAAGATTAAGATTAAATTTAAGAGTAGGAATAATATTTAGTTCAAGATTAATATTAAGATTAAAGTTAAAAAGAAAATTAAGATTGAGATCAAGATTAAGATAGAGACTCTGATTAAGATTAATATCAAGACTAGGATTAATATTAAGAGCAAGATTAAGATTAAGATTAAGATTATTATTATTATTAAGAATGAGATTAAGATTAAGACTAAGATTAAGATTAAGAACAGGATTAGGATTAAGATTAAGGTTGAAGTTAAGATACAAATTAAGATTAAGATTAAGGTTAAGATTAAGATTAAAATAAGGGTTAAGATTAAGATTAGTATTAAGATTAAAATCAAGATTAGGATTAAGGTTAAGATTAAGATTAAGATGGAGACTAAGATTAAAAGTAAGATTAAGATTAAGATCAAGATTTAGATTTTGATTATTATTAATATTAATATTTAGATTAAGGTGAAGATTACGAATGCGATTGAGATTAAGATTTGAATTGGCATTAGGATTTATGTCAATATAATTGTTCATTGTCATGCAGGAAAGTACCCATAAAATGTGGGCAGCTATACGAGGTTTAGTTAGTCGCGCGTGCGATCCGTACACAACTTTTTTTATTTCATCTAATATGAAAAGATGAAAAATAATGAAAAAATGGGTCAATCCGTATCAAAATCGACCAATGTTTGGCGTCGAAGATTTTTGATTTCGATGAATTTTGGTCAGAAATTTGTTTTTTCATATAGCGATGTTCTGCCGAAAGAAACAATTTTTTTGAAAGTTACGCAAAATTCCAAATTTGACAATTTCCAGTATTTCCCATGTAGATTTTTCGGAACTCGGCCAAACACTAACATATTTGTAATCGCGAATCTATTATTACTATTATATTTTTCGAAAAACCCAGAAATTGTTATAGTTAAAAGATAGTTCTGCTCTCGTTTTAAAGTTCCTATTTAAGGCTATAAAGATAAAATATATAAAAAATTTAAAAACAAGACAAAAATCTACAAAATTTTTTGCTTAAAAATCGTAAAAGCAAAATCTTATACAAATTTTTGGCTCAACTTATTTATACAATTCCAGCAGCTGACCTTAAAAGATCCTGAAATTTTCAAGGTGTTTTTTATAAGACCCAAATTTATGAACTTTGGAATAAATTTTTACAAACTCTAAGCAAATAAAGTTAAGTTAAACAATTTTTATTTAATATAAACTTATTCTTAATTTCGAGCTTGCAAAAGACCAATTATTTTAATAATTCAAAATGATATGTCTTAAAAATTGGAAAATTGGAAATTGAAGCATCTCTTAAGATCACTTAGAGGTTTTGTATACAAAAAACTTTTAAAAAATATATGTAACGAGTTTTAGATTTCAAAATTCTTTTATTTTGTATTTTTCGAATATTTTTTAGCATATGTTTTTATATAGCTCTAAATATCTGCTATAAACGAGAGGTATTCAAAAAATAAAATCAAGAAAATTGTGAAATTTTCCTTATTCCTTTATTTTTTCTTTTGGAGCACTCATTATAAGGTAAAAGGAAGCTTCTGGCCAAAGTTAGTTTAAGTAAAAAATGGTCGATTCCAACCATTTGACATATTTTAGCTCCTGTTCATTTTTTTTCTTCCTAATGGTCATATCTACAAAGCTCAACGCGGATTGGATTCCATTGCAGATCACTTGCTGCTAACTCCCTCCAATGACTATGCAAAGATCACCAGCACGAGCTATTGTCAGCAAACCCACTTCAAGAAAAATTTCGAAACATTCGTACACAGGACACTTCCATTGGCGAGAGCTTTTAGCGGGTTTTTCTAGCTCCCAAAACTAAAAAAAACAGTACTCCTGCATCCATTCAATCAATGCAGACTTGATACTAAAATGCCGAAGTGCTTCAATATTTCTGCCAAAACAAAAATGCTGAAGATCCCTCAATTACCAGAACTAATAGTAGACCATATAATTAATTTTGTTCGCTAAGAATTCTTTGTAACGATCTGAGTGAATGAAGATAAATATACCCAGTATATATAACAAAAGACTCGGAATAAAAATATGTATATCTAATTCCATTCGAAATTTGGAAAGCAAAGGTATTTCACAAGGCAATTGTCAATTCTGGCAATTTGTTTCAAAGGTCTTTTTATAGAACCATATCAATAAACACAAAAAATTTCAAGTTCGGTTCTGAAAATTAAATTTCAAAAAATTATATCAAAAAAGGAAAATAATAATTAAACAAGTAATTTTTAGCAAAAAAAAAACCGACTTCAACTCTCATATAAAAAAAATATATATATATATATCTTATGATCCACTGATCGGAACTTTCCCATATTAGTATGGGACCACCTCTGAGACACTGCCTTTCCGATGCAAAAAGAATTATCGAAATCGGTTGACGGGGCCCAAAGTTATGCGGTAACATACATTAAAAAAAAATATAATAATAAAATAAAATAAAATAAAAATAAAATATTCCGACGAACTGATAACCTCCTCCTTTTTTGGAAATCGGTTAATAAATCAAATCATTCCCTAAAAATTAATTTAAATAAGAAATATTTTTTTTTGTAATATGTCAATATAATCTAAAAATTAAAAAATAAATAAATAAAGACGTTTAATAGGTTACTAAAAATTAACTGAAATTAAAAAAAAAAATATTTTTCCTATTGAATCAACATCTAAAAATAAGGAAAAGAAAAGAAATCGCATCAAAAAAGTATTTTTTAAGCAATTTCTTCATTATCCAATGCTCGGATCTAATTACTATGGGACCACCTCGGAGACACCAAATCGGTTGACGTGGTCCAAAGTTATGTGATAACATACATAAAATAAAAATTTCCGATGAATTGATAACCTTCTCCTTTTTTGAAGTCGGTTAAAGAGAAAAAACACCAATTTAAGATTAAAATGAAACAAAAAAAAATCCTTTTAAAGAAATAAAATTTAAAAATTAATTTGAAAAAAGTATATATAAATTAAGTTTCTACAAATCAAATTAAAAAAATTTGTTTCTTTTTAAAAGAATAAAATCTAAAAATTTTAAGAAAATTATTTTAAAAGAGAAAAAATAATATCCTTACAACTTAATTAAACTTAAAAAAATATGTTTTATTTTTAAAATATTATAATCATAAGATTACACAAAAAAATTAAAACCAAAACGAAAACTAAATGAAATAGGGAAAAGAATTTAATTAGTTTCTAAGAAATAAATAAAATTTTTTTTTTTATAAAATCTGAAAATTAAAAGAAATAAATTAATCTAAGAAAAGAAATTGAAGTAAAAATCTCAGTTTCTAAAAATGCCATAAAATAACAGAGCCGCGTTAAAATTTTTTTTTTCAAATTTTAATTTTTTAATATTCAGCAAATTGTTACACAAGTGCTTCCTGTTAACGGACCTTTTCAACATGAAATTTGGCCAGGGATCTTTTTTTTGGAACACCTTCGATTCAGAGCAAACAACATCTTTCCAGCTACATATCTTCACTTACGCCCTTCCATTGTCTTACAAAAGATATTCAACTATTCTTGCCACAAAAGCCCGGTATATTGGTTTTTTATTATATTATTGCCCTTAAAGACAATTCAAGTCCACAATGTACCTTAAATTAATTGGCAATGTGTACACTTCAGTTATTTTTGTAGTTGGTAAATTGCTGTAGGCGTATTGCAAACAGCCAATAACCACTAATTGTGGGTGTGTTTTTATAGTTGTACAAGCCGTGTAATCAACGCTGCCTAATTTCATACATCAACATGCATACATACATACATACTACATACTCGTACATATATTTTTACCGAACGCGTGTCCCTCCATATCGAACTTCTTTTATGTGATTTTGTACTTCTTTTTAATTATCGTTTGTAAATCGATGTACATACATATGTATTTAGGCTTGTATGTACATACATACATACGTCTGATGCTCGCTTCCTTACTTTTCTTTCATTTTCTCTTTACAGAATCACGATTCAGTGCTGATTAACGGCACATGTCAGATACCGGATCCTGTTTACAAATTGGTCGGATCGATTATTTGTTTTTATATACCGTTATTTGTTATGTTACTCACATATTGTCTTACAATACGTCTATTGGCGAAGAAAAGCCATAACCTGGATGGAATGTGTCAGCCTCAGCCACCGGGTTGGGCGAGTATTTGGCTGGGCCAAAGTAGCGCTTTTGGTAAGTTAAATGTACAAAGATGGATAGAAATAACCATTTACCTAAGATAAGTACTTATACGTACATATGTATATTTATGTATGTATACATATATAAAAATACTTACGGGTTTGCGCAGAAATTTGTTTATTAAATAAATAATAGGTAAGAAAGTTAACTGACCATGAATTCGGGCGATAGGGGACTAGATTTTAAATCTATTTAAAGGAATGGAAGGGGTTTCAATAAGCGTATATATGTAAAAAATAAATAAAAAGAATAAAACATAAATATAATCATTATGGTGTTCAATATTTTCGAAGTGGTTTTTGTTTTTTGCTGCCACCTAACAAATTTTTAGTTTTTGCCCTAAAAAAATATAACATCTAAAAAAATTTGAATTTTCAACTTAAATTGTGCCGAAATCATATTATATTTTCCATTTGAAGAACATGGGATTTTTTTACTATTTGCATTTAATTTTTTTCTCTCTGAAAAAAAAACTTTAGAAAACCGTAGTAGAAAGCGTAGCAAATTTCTTAAGAACTGCGTACTGCCTCAAGAAAATTTTACACAAGAAAATTTCTTAGGCATTTCTTGAACGTCATTTTGTATGGAATTTTTGCGTTTTCTTGAGAAGTGCATACAGGCCTTATGTATGAAAACCAGCGCCCAACCGATATCCCACAACTTCCATATGCAATTCATCACATCACTCATACGCCATGTGTACCGTGTGCACCTGTTTACCTAAAAAAATGTGTTGTACAATGTACATTTTAATCTTGAATAATTTTCGGAAGAACAAAATTTATCAAAAAATCAAGAGAGATCTTTTTTTAGAGACTTTAATTCTATATTAAAGTATATATAGGCTATGTTCTTTAAATTGGATTGAACATTTTTAGGGCAAAAATTAAAAATTCACGTGGTGGCAGCAAAAAAAAATCATATTTATAATAGCATATATGATTCTCACAATCTTTAGTTCCACTAAAAGCCAGAGGATAATTTGTTTTAATGGCTGCTCACTAATCAAGATATTTTGAAGAGAGCGTATTTTAAAGAAATGCCACCAATACCGACTGATACAGTTAGTGCTGAAAGAAAAATAGAATTAAATTTATCGACACTGATACTTTAGATAATTATGTATTATATATGTATGTAGGTGTTTAGAATAGATATATGAGGCATACTTGTAACAAAAGCCACTAAAAATCCACTGGTTTGAGTGCCCCGATTGTCTTTCATGCATCTTAGGAATTAGGAAGTTGGCACTGCACCACGGCAGTTGTGTTAAACTATCAAAGCATGTGATGGATGAACTTCAGTATTACATATACTACAGATGGTACCAACACGAGTAGAAAATTACCCAAACCTGCGGCAGGGTCATGGATTTACCTGCATTTACAAAAGAGACCACATACTGGAGGAGAGGATACAGGAGTGGTTTTGGCCATTCACTCATCTTCAGAGTCGAGGTCAGACCATTCGCTCATAATGGGAATGAGTCGGCACGGAAACATTTGTCAATGAGCGCTTAGTGACGCCGTAGGTGAGTCTTATTTGTCCAGAAGAGGAGAAAAGCGAAGGCGAAAGCAGTCGTCGGAACGCGGACAGGAGAAGTCCTGCTGCGTGGGTGCAATTCGCCAAGCAGGCGATGAAAAGTCCAGGGAATGTATTTTATGGAAATTGATTCAATAGCGACTAACGTTTTTGACTTAAAAACTTGAAAAGGGAAAATATTCAAAGATTCAAAGTAAAAATGTTTCTTATAATTATACTATTTAGTTTATAGTTTTCCTCTTTTTTCTTGTAGGATAAACATTTCTAAAATAAATGTATTTTTGATGATTTTTCGGTTTCGGAGAAGGACATATTTCCAAAGAAATCTGTGGCTGTTACGAGATGAAGGGGCACTGAAATCTTCTGCTGGGAGGTGCAAAAGTAGAAATTTATTGGCTGTGTCCCTTAATGCCTGCACCGTTATAAAACCTCGTCTTAAAAAACTATCAAATTTTTTCAAAGGCGGGTCGCATTCCCTCCAAAGAGGGATGGAAAATGGGGTTTCATGTACGCCAAACACATTCAGATATTTTTGCTAAAAGAAGTAGCTAATCATCTGCATAATTAAAGCAAATACCTAGTAAGACCCTCTGCGTTTGAGAACAATATGAGTTTTTCCCACCTGTAGCTACTCGAAACCTGGGCAAGCAGCTGCTTCTTTGCCTTATCTAGCCAAATGGTCTGATGTCGTTGTATTTTCAACATAATTCAGGCGGTACTGGCGTGGCCAAACTTGTATGGAAGTAGTTGGAGAGCTAGCCAATGCCTTATGTGCTGTTAGTACAGAGCAGTGTTGCCATATTCCCAGTTTTAACTGTAAATTACAAATGTAGTAAGAAAAAAGTTTTTCCGAAATTTTCGATTTGAACAAATAATTTAAAATGTTTCTTTCGGGCTTTTTTGTAAGTCAATTTTTAAGACAAAAGGAGACGATAAATGAAGAGCGTTTCCGCATTCCAAGCAAATACTTTCTGCTGCCCTTTGCATTCACATCGCCACAGGATATGTAGAAAAAATATTTTCCCAAATCAATTAGAATAAAACAAGATATAAACTGAAAATTCCAGCACTCTCTGTTATTTTAAGAACTAAAAATTTCTTGAAAAAAGTGCCTCAGCAGCTTTGAGATATACAATCAACGCTCAAAAAAATTAAGCTGTTTACGAAAAATAATGAAGCAGAATTTTATTAAAACAAAATGTGATTTCAATATTCCATCTTGTAAAGTCGGTTTTTGTTTAGTTAAGTTAAGTTACACGGTTTATGTTATTTAATATTAAATTAATCGATTTTTAATAATATTTGACAAAATTAAAAATTTTAATTTTTTGGAAAATTTCTTCGATTTTGAAGGTTACAATTTTTTGGTTAAAAAAACAGTTATTTTTCAGAAAACTCCAATTTTTGATAAAAAAAAAAAGGTCACACTGCTACAGGCACATAAACTCCTTCCTCTCCAGAAATTAAGATTGCTCCGCTACCTTTGACATAGATTTCGGTTCCTTCAATTTATATATAGGCAGTGCAGGTATGGAGCCAGCACTCTGCCTCAGGGAGATCAGAAGTTATAGAAGTACATACAAAGGCAATAGTAGCTTACTAACCGGTGGCATTGAAAAGGCCTTTACATCTTAATCTCTGCCTTCAGCAATTTTCGCCTCACTCAAGTGAGAAAGTAAGCCACCCTGAGAACGAATGCTATGAAGACCACATTTGAGATATTGACCTCCTTTTGCCTAAATCCTAAGGACCCTCTGCGATAGCTTTAAAAGAAGGTGGCATTGTCAAAAACACCGTCATTGTCAACAAATCCTGCTAAGAAATATATTTTGGCTAAGAAAAAATAAAAACCCAACTTTCTAGATATGTCTGGCGATATTCACACTTTTTCCAGCAAATGCAATGCAACTCTTTCACATCACTTTTTAGGTATTAGGCTGTCGAGGGAAAAAAAACTCATACACTATTTAGCTACTTCGGTATTAGCGTCTACGATCTGATATAGTTGTGCGCGACTCGAGTGACTGCTTCACATCACCCATTTAGTAAATATTAGGAATTACATTGTATCGATATATGTTTACTAATAATACATTCTGAAGCCCTTCTTTCTTCCCTTTTAAATTTAGAAATCTTGTGTTGATTTATTCACAACCTTTTGCTAACGTCATACAAATAAATTAAGCTATTTTCCACTTTGAACACAAGTTTAACTGTCTGCCACCTTTCCAATATTATTTTATAATTGATTCTCTTTTCATTATGCAATGCATTACCAATCAATATTGACTCGTTACTCAAAAATAGATTTTATTGACTAAATAGACCAATTATCTAGAACATGTTTCAATGTTCCCACTGTTTCAATAGCATATACATACTTATTCATAGACACACAATCAATTCCGGCATGTTTTTAGGCTAAGTACTACAAAATTCTCGCATAATTTGTCGTTGAAGGTCAGCGAATTAAAAATCACTAAAAATAACAAACGAGACTAGAACTAAAAATATTCGGAATAAAGAGGAATTTAATGGCATGACACTAGCAAGACATGCACATTTTACGCCTTGCTTGGTAATTGTAGGGACTGTGGATATTCACAATGAAAGATAAGAATGCTGGATTTATTGGAGGACGTCCCTTATTAAGATCATTTCCCCGAGACCACTCAGTTTTTATTCAAAACAAACCAAAAATTTACAAATTCTTTGCACAAAAAACTTATGTGCTTCTTTGGCTTTTTGAAGGCATATTGTAAATGTAAAATATTAAGAAGCCAATATGGGATTACTTTTAGAAATACTTAAAAAAATTTACTTTCTTTTTGAAAAATTTCGCAACCAATATAACCCTCGCCTCCTACCTCTCCGACTCAGCACTCTGCATAGCCATTCCAAGCAATTCCATTAGCTGCATAATCCAGCACCAAACAACATTGAGATGCCAATCTAGACGCACATTGCGAGTACAAACTAACTGACTAGCTGATGGTACACAAATGGCTGGATGTTGGACTGCTGGCTATACTTTAAGCCAGCACGTCGCTCAACTACTGCTTCATTCTTTTTCTTCTTTCTGCATAGGGAAGCCCGAGTTTTTCAACTTTTCTTTTCATGGTATTGCGTAAAATTGTTTGTTAATATGTATGTACATATGTATGTATGTATGTATCGTTATGTATCTCCAGTCGGTATGCTGACATCGGTGCTGGTTAAGGAAATGCTGGTGCGAGCCGCTTTTGAATTTGGCGGAGGTGAGGTTATATCTGCTTGACATGCATGTAATTTGGTTGACTCTGGGCTGTTTGACTGTCACGTCTATTACTGTATATGCAGTTACTAGAATTACAATAACGATAATGTATGCACTGGCTTTAAAAGTTGTGCCAGAGGTATGTAACGATAGCCGATAAAATAAGCAAAAGCGGCTAATGCAAAATAAATAACTAGATTATGTATATTTTCAGTTGCACAGTGAGAAGTAATGTATTAAATCTTTCCCATTCTCTCTGTAACATTTCGATAGACACCACGTGCCACGTATGCGGTTCATTACAAAGAGAAACAATAATGTTTAAGTATTGATTTTTATTTATTTTATAAACAAATAGCGATTAATATAAACCTGAATCGAAATGTAATCAGTAATTTTTGCTTTTAGTTTTTTAGGCAATAACTGCAAAGTTAAATTTTATTTATATTTTAAAGCGGTCGAAAGGTCCCGAAAAAAGGTTTAGAAAAAGTTTATAAATTACCAAAAAGAAAACACCGTAGAATGAAAAACGATACCCGACAAACTTTTAAATTTCCAAAAAAATATCGAAGTCACAAAAATTTTAAAAAGTCTCAAGAAAATTTTACAAATTACCAAGACAAAATATTATTGAAAAGCAAAACCCGAAGAGTCCCGAAAAAATATCGAAATATCCCAAAAAGTTAAACACGAAGTATCCATAATAGTCCCGAAAATTTTTCGAAAAATAAAACACGTAGAATCGAAAGATTTTGTAAAATAAAACTCGAAGTATCCCTAATACTTAGTCCCGAAACCAACAAAAATAATTTAAAAAAAAATAATAAATAACGAAGAAAAAATATCTTAAAGTGAAACCCGAGAATCCCAAAAGGTTCCGAACAAATATCGAAAGTGATCGAAAAATAAAACACGAAGTATCCCGAAAACTGCGGTAAAAATCTGTTAACAGTCTGAAAGAAAATGTATAAATTAAAAACAATATACCGATAGTCGAGACCTGCAAAATTACGAGAAGTCCCGAAAATAGTTTGTATAATAGTAGTAGTAGTAGTAGTAGTAGTAGTAGTAGTAATAGTTCCGAAAAAATCTACTTATGTCTCGAAGAGAATGTACAAATTGCCAACAAAAATTTGGAGAGCGAATCCCTAAAAATTTCCTAAAGCCCCGAAAAAAGCTCGAAAGATTCCGAAATACCTAAAAATAATAGTTTTGAAAAAATTTACAAAAACCAAAAAATACCGAAAAGCAATACCAGAAGAATCTTGAAGTATCCCATAAAAATCTCGAAAGATGGGGAAATATAAAACACGAATAATCCTTAGCAATTTTAAAAAAATTTACAAAAGTATAAAAAAAATTTAAAAATTCTTATAGCAAACTACTGAAAAGCGAAACCCGAAGAATGCCGAAAATATCTCGATTCATCCCGAAATATAAAGTGGAAATAGCCCCTTCATTTCCAAAAAATAGCAAATTATCAAAAAAAATACTTAAGAGCGTAACCCCAAACATTTTTAAAAGTCCGGACAAAACCAAATCGCGAAAAATAAAACGCGAAGTATTCTTCATAGCCCCGAAAAAAATATTTTTGTATGTCTCGAAATATATTTTACAAATTTTACAAATTACCAAAAAAAAAGTACTGAAAGCGAAAGCCAAAAAATTAAAAACTAAGATAAAACGAGAAGTATCACGCGAAAACCGGTTAAGGTTCCGAGAAAATTTACAAGTTGCGAAAAAGCGAAAAAAATACCAAAAAGAAAATACCGAATAGCGAAACCTGGAGAGTCCCGAAAAGTTCTGAAATCATCTTCGTAGAGCCCAGAAAAAATTTCGAAATTTTTAAAGATTCGGAAACCTCAAGTATCCCGGAAAATATATGCATTTTAATAAAAATACCGAAAAGCGATACGCGAAGTATCCCGAAAGGTACCGAAAAAATTCTGAAAAGGGTTGCAAGAATCATGATAAATTTCGAAAAGAATTCAAATTCAAGGGGGGAAGTCAAAAGCCATGACTATTTTATAATTTAGTTCTGAAACTACCTTTGTACCCAGAAAGTTAACGAAATATTTCGGTGTAGTAGAACAAGAAACGCAAGTGCCTAAAAGATTTTTCTTATTCTCTGAATGCATGCCTAAGATACATTTGGCTTCGCGAGTAAATACTAAACGTTTTTGGAAATAAAGGAGCTTTAAACTAAACTAATCTTGGTCTGGTAAAGCTAGGACAATCACAAAACAGGTATTCTAAAGTTCCGTCTACTTCAAGGCAGTGGCCGACGTTGGCGTCCTGAGGTTGTTGTTGTTGTTGTAGCAGCAAACAAATACCCCAAAGACTTTTTGTGGAGTGTTGCTGGAGTGACAGTCCTTAGCCAGATATAAATCTGGGTCGTTCCGGTTACGTAGACCCGATTGTCGTGGGAGCGGGCGTCCTGGGGTCACACCGTTTGGTGCGCATATCAAAACATAATCGGTTGTGATCAGTTTGATGCCCACATAGTACGCTGATATCAGTTCTGTTTACTAAAATATAGTTTCTGTTGAAGGGAAAGCCCAATTTCCAATTCCTTTGTGCCAACTCGCCTATGCCCTCATTGCCTCGGGCTCCACTGTGACCTGATAATCAGCAGATTATTTGACGCAGGTTGAAATTGCTCATGCATCAGATTGAAACGCCATAGGCCATCTGCTAAACAGCACACGTTCTGTCTTCCATCTTTGAACCATCTGTGTGACAATGTACATATCTAGGACCATAAGCTAGGAGCTTTCTGCCAAAGCAGATCTCTTAACTTATACGATCAGAAACTTCGCAAGAATACCTGGTAGATATTCGGTGTTGCAGATACCTCATGGCTGCTCTTGCTTGGACAGAACTATAAAGAAGTCTATCCTGGAAACGACTACAGAGCCGCAGTTGAGTAAGTTCTCATTAATACAGTGACGGAGATATGTAGTACATGCATGGCATTACAAAGGTATGCTTTCTCCCGTACATGCAACACGACCGGTCAGATGGTCACTCTATTTACACTGAGGGAAAAATATCGGCCTGAAAATTAATTAATTTAATTATGTATATGGAATCTAAATGTTTCATTCTTGAAATAAGAATTTCGTACTCAAATCAAACATGATGCTTCTTTATTATGAGTACCTTTAAGACAAAATAATGAAATGAATAACCAAGAATTTATGCCCAGTTTTTAAATGACTAAGGATTTATGTCCACTTTTAAAAGTATCAAAAAATGTATGCCTGTATTTTTAGGTAACGAAATTTCGCGCACAGTTTTTAAATATTCAAATTTTTATGTTTCCTTTTTAAATTTTGAAAAATGTATGCTCAATATTTATAGAAACAAAATTATGTCCAATTTTATGTTACCAAAAACTAATCTCCTATTTTTAAATGAGCAAGTTTTTTTAACCAGACCCAAAATTTATAACCAATTTTCAAATAGCCAAATATTTATGTATAAACTTTTTAAATCCTCCAAGAATTTATGGCCAGTTTTTTGATGAACAAAAATTTATGTCCACTTGGAAGATCAAAAATTAGTGCCCAATATTTTAATAAGTAAAAACTTATTACCAATTTTTAAATGACCTATGATTTATGTGTACTTTTAAAAGTACCAATAATTTAATGTCCTGCTTTTGGAGAACAAAATTTTCAAATAACAAAAAATTTGTGTCCACTTTTTTATGCACCAAGAAATGTATGCCCAGTTTTTTAATAACCACAAATTTATGTCAATGTTTTAAATGACTGAAAATTAATGCCCAATTTTTAAATGATCAAAAATTTATTACAAGACCAAAAATTTCTAACCAGTTTTCAAATTACTACAAATTTACGTCGACTTATTAAATTTCCATAAAATTTTTGTGCATTTTTCAAGTGACACAATATTTATCGCCACATTTTCAGTAATCAAAAACTTATGGAAAGTACTGAAATGAAAATTTACATTCACTTCCTAAGCAAACAAAAATAAATGTCCAGTTTTTATGAGACTCAAATGTATTAAGTGCCAAAAATCGATGCACTGTATTTAAATGATGAAATAATTTTTAAGTGACCAAAGTCGGTATGCCCAATTCTTAAGTGGCAAAAATTAATGCTCATTATTTAAACGATGAAATAAAATATTTATGTACTTTTTTTAAGTTGCCAAACTTATGTTAAGTTTTAGTATAAAAAATGAATTCGCAGTTTCAAAACCACACATTTATGCCCACATTTTTAATGACCAATAATATATGTCGAGTTTTTAAATTGCCAAATAATTATGTCGAGATTTTTAATAATCAAAATATATGTCCACATTTTATGGCAAGTTTTTAAATTATCAAAATATGTTTTGTGTTGTTAAATTAACAAAATCAAAAAAACATTGCCCTGTTTTTAATTTTAAGCATTCATATGCGGTCTCCAACCACTGTGCGGTAATATTAAATAGAACTTTAGTTATACAGAATTCCACTTCCATTTGCAGGTATGCCAGCAGCAGCCCGCATGTCAACTGCCAACCAGTACGGTTCGGTTGACGTGTTAAATCCACTTAAAGCTATTGCCAGTGCATAGTAGTCAGTTGGTTGCTGACTAACGGCTTTCAGCTGCCAGCTACTAGTTAGATATTGAAAGTCAGTAGCTGGCGGCAAGTCAATGCTGAATGTTGGCAATGGACATACTTGGCTTACATTTTCATACATAGCACACGCCAGGACAGACCATGGCTATGCCACGCTTCTCCTGCACCAGCCAGCGCAATTTCTAATAATTGTGGTGCTTTTGCCCGCACACAGCTGCGAAAAAAGTATCATACATATATATATGTAGAGCATAGACATTCTCCCTTGTGTCTATTCGTTCGACCATTAAACTTAAATGACGACGACGATAATATGCATTTGTTATTTTGTGTGTTCCAAAGCATTTTCAGCCACTGCTATCCGACATTTTTTTTTTAATACACCTTTTTTTTTTATTTGCCTTGTAAGCAACTAAGCGTTAAGGCGTTTAAATTTTTGCTTTTAGCATACAATTTCGCCGATTTTAGGAATTATACTTGCGTAAACATAGAATTATTATACTCTGCCATTTTAAAATTTGTCAAAATTTTTCACATCTTTCAACTTCATGCGTTCCATTTCAGAGCGTCGTCGCACCTGGCGTCAACTTTTACGCCCGCACTCCAGCACAGTGACACAGGCGCAGTCGGCCAACTCCACCGATACGGAGCTCTCGACGCTGGACACTCATGAGCTGTGGCTAACCGAATCCAAGTAAGTTTGTATGTGCGTCCCAAGGCGGGTCATTTACCTTGGACATTTTTTTTTTGTGCTTTTTTGGCATTTTCCAATTTTCATTTGCATGCTTTTAACTTTTTCATTTCACGTCCCTTTTTCAATTTCGTTTCATTCACTTCCACCTCGATGGCATTGCAGTACTCCAAAGCATAGAACCACCACTGTGACGGCGCTACAACAATTCGGCGCCGAAATGTTAAAATTGTCGCGTGGCTTAGAGTCAGTGGCATCCTCGTCGACCACCTGCTCGCCAACAAAATCGGAATTTTCATCATCAAATCACTTCGCCGGCAATAGTCCGCAGCATTACGCGGTGAACAAGCAAGCAGCCAATCAACAGCACCAGCATCAACACCAGCACCTGCACCACCATCACCATCACCATCACCACCAACAGCAGCAGCAACAACAACAACATCTGAGTGGAGAACATCAACAAATACCCACAGCAGCGCTGGCGGCTGCCACAACCGATAGTACATCGTTGCTGCTGCGTTCGAGCAGTTTGAGGCGTAGTGCGCGGCGTGGACGCAAAAGGTAAGCAAAAATATAACTGGAGGCAAATGGAAGCGTATTTGAAGTTGAAAAATTTGGCATTCAAAATAGTAATGAAATTGGAAATGTAGAATGGGCGTTTTGGGCAGGAATGGCATGAATATTTGGCAAATTCTTTAAAAATGGTATGGCAGTGCGTATGATGAACTTGCCATTTCAAAGGAAGCGAAACAGTGGGCCGTATGCATAAAACCTAAGTTAATGCTTTTTCTTAGAATTTCACTCGATTTGTTCAAATAAATTTAAGTGAAAAAAAGCAATTGCTTAGTTTTTTATGCATACGGCCCAATATCAAGCCAAAATTGAAGTGTTGAATGAACATAAGTACAGCTAAAGATGAGAAAAACAACAATATGAAGTGCAGTGCAATTCACCATAATACTCTTGTTGAATCAAAATTTTGCGCGTGAACACTCGTGATTGTTGCGGTAATGACTGCACAAATCATACACCTCAATCAATTCACAAATAAATGGAGAGCATTGCGATTTTATTAGGGAAGTTAATATTTCAGAGATTTCGGGAAAAAACTTTTTAGGAAAAATTTAGATTTATGTCAAAATTTAATCCTATTAAAAATTTACCTTACATTTGAAAAAGTATTTTCTGGCCAAAAATAATTCTTAACAAAGTTAGAAAAATTTTCCAAAAATTACAAAAAAAAATATTTTTTTGAGGAAACATTTCGAAATTTTTTTAGAAAAAAAAATTATTTTGGGGAGCAGATTTCTAAGATATGTAAATAAATTTTTGGAAAAAATAATAACCTTAATTATACTCAATTGGAAATAGCAATTTTTTGACGTAGAATACGTCTTACCTTAAGGTATGGGGGCTATGTTCAAATGTTGTAGTTGTAATTTTTAGAGCTTCACAAAAACGCTTATTGCACGAGAACTAATAAAGCGATTTCAAAGAAAAGTGTGGCGTTTCAAAGATAAAATTCCAAACCTGTCGACAGATTCATTTTTGTAAATAACCAATTCGGTTTCTGTCGTAAAAACAACGGTAAACATTGCCTTATTTTGGGGTAAATTTTGAGCCTTTAAAGTGCTCTAGCAACTTATTGTTGGCATATATAACTTTCATTTTCGGGATATAGGTTCTTTGGAGCAGTAGAAATATTATCGGGTACAAATTTTATATAAATTTAACAAATATTGAGCATTTTAAGGCAAAAAATTGTTGAAAAAATTTGCAAATTTTTTTCATTACCAAAATGCACGAAAACCGCTCGAATGATTTTGTTTTTGTTTTCTTTAATCAAAAATTCAAGAGTTTTCCTTTCGTTTGGTATATGGGAAGTATTGGTTGATATCTTCTATATATATTTATTTTATTCAAATATATGGGCATAAATGATTTTCCATACAAAATCACCTCGTCATCATTTTGCAAACACGTGCATGCGTTGGAAGTGAGGAAAAGAGACAAAAAGTATGTATGTGTACGTGAGTACATAGTTATTTCGGCTTTTGATAAACAGATGGAGCAATATTTACATATAACCTAATCGCGTGTGTGTACATATGTAAATACATACATACGTATATATGTTGATTGCAGTTAATGTGGATCTGTTTCTATTTTTAGTAATCTATGTATGTCTATACATACAGATGTACATACATATTATATATGTACATACATATATGAACACATGTATGCATAATACGCGAAGACTTTTCGAATTGAAACAACATTTAGAAAAAGTCCAATCCAAGAATAAAAGTAAAGGTGAGGACGTACATAGATAAAGAAAAGGATAAAGGCCAAGGTAAAAATAAACACAAAAACAAAGTTGAGTAAAGATAAAGGCAAACATGAAGACCAACGTAAATTTAAACACTTTACTTATATGTATAAGTGCAAAGGTGAAGGGGAATATGTATATGAAGAATATGATAAACATAAAAATAAAAACAAAGATAAATATAAAGAAAAAGATGCGGATGAGGATACCGATAAAAGTATAGATGAAGGTAGAGGAAGAAAGATTAAAATAAAGGTAGTTGTAGAGAAAAGGATATAGATAAAGGCACAGAGACTCAATCTCGGAACTATTTCGGGATTTTAGGGATTCTCGGGACTTATCGATATAATCGATATTTTGTTGGTTTTTTATCGATTTTGTTATCGAAATTTTTATCGATATTGTTATTGATTTTGCTATCGATATTTTTGGAACTTATCGATATAATGATCGATATTTTTATAGATTTTGTTATCTCTTTATTATCGATTTTGTTATCGATTTTATTATCGATTTTGTTATCGATATTTTTATCGATTTTGTTATCGATATTTTTATTGGTTTTGTTATCGATATTTTTATCGATTTTTTTATCGATTTTTCTAACGATTTTGTTATCGATATTTTTATAGATTTTGTTATCGATATTTTCAGAACTTATCGATATAATGATCGATTTTGTTATTTATTTTGCTATCGATATTTTCACTTATCGATATAATGATCGATATTTTTATCGATTTTGTTATCGACA